CGACGCCTGCACGTAGCCATGTAAACTTTTCGTCAAAGGTGTATTTCACAGGTCGGTTCTTCCTTGCAAAATTACACAGCTTAGTTCTCTTTTAGTAAAAAATATGGCCAAGAAACGTGCCAGGGTGTGCGGTGGGCGGCAACCCAGACGACCAAGTCCCAAGGAGGATAGAAAGGTAGGAGAGGCATGACGTCGGGCCGCGTAGCCTCCACAAGCCATGCTCCCTTGACACCTCGCCTCTTTCTCATTTTCCTCCTTACTCTCCTCACTTACCATGCCAACGTGACCACATCACGTGACCGTAGCTAGCCTTCATCTTGCTATGGGGTACTAAAATACACCACAGTCTAGCCTTCGTTCTGATAAAACCTACCGGATGGAGCGCGCGCAAGCCTGCAAGGAGTCCTTCTAGAACCAACCATCCATCTCGCACGTGACATGTCACACGCACCAATCGCCAGAGAGATCTGTGGTCACGCTGGGCACAAAATCGTTTAAACTTTTTATGACTAGGCTTCACCGATATTGCAACGTGCCCACTCCTAGTACTTCTAACCTCCTTGCCAAGTCCAGTCGCGGAGTGTGTTTGGCTTTCGTATTGGTAGATGGCGTCCACAGCACAGCTTCGACAGCAAGAACAATTGTTTTTCATTTGCACCTTAGATTTTCATTGGTAATATAAGTGCCTCCACTGCAACTGGTTCATAGAAATTAATGCCGAAGCATCGGTTAAACATTATGTAAACAAAGCAAAAAACGAGCAGCCACTCTTCGGCATGGCTTGTGAGGCGGTGCCGCTCAGCCCCAGAAAGTTGAAGATGGACCTCAGCACTTTTGTCCGCCTCTCGAGTCTCAAGCCGGCTTGACCCAAGTGTCGAGGTTCCTTGGCCGCTTTTCAAAGTCTTTGTCCTCCCAGGCTTTACGGCGATGAGTGTTGTGTGCCTTACGCTCTCAGCTTAGATAGCGGAGCTTGGGAGGGACGTGTTTGTTGCAGCAGGGGCATCTTGGGACGAATGGAACGATTGTGAGGTGGCGCTTCTTCCGCACGACGGCAAGCAGAGGGGTGACAGCGCCTCCAGAGTGGTCCTATCTCAGCATACCTGTTTCCGTTCCCCAATTCTCCTCGGTGCATGGATTTTGTCCTCGGGGTTGCACTCTTCCTTGTTCTTGGTGTCGTGGAGTGAGTGATTTTCTCATGAACCAGTGATACCAAGTCTACTCATTTATCAGTAGACATCATTTTGCTCCCCGTTTACTGATTCATAGCATCTTCAATCTCCGTGTGCTGGATTGTCTCAAAACCAGCAATGTTTTGGGGAAATCCGGTGCATAGAGCACCAAATATGCAATTATTTATTCAGTATACTGCAAGTTCAAAACCGGCACGATTTTGAGCCGCCCCTGAGGAGCAGTGATTCGGTACTCTTCGGTGATGGAGCGCCGAGTCGGTGCAACATCGAGGAGGAACTACGCTGCACATTGGTACTATGTTCTGGCAACGCTGCCCTGGACCTAGTAAAGATTCTTACATTGTGTTTGACACAGCAATTTGATAGACGCATTTGAGATTCCCATGATCGAGGGGCTCACAGTGTGCGGTTTCTTGCACTTGCGGTTGGTATGTTGGGAATCCATGGAAAGATGTGCTCTACGTATGGTGAAGTCCGCCCTTGCTAGAATGTGTTTGAGCGCTTCTCGTTTGGCGTGTGCTTTTGTCCTCTCCTGAGACCTGGTCTCAAGGGCGGAAGCCGCCATCAACATATGTTTATGCCTTCTGTGTCAACAACATAGAAGGCAGCGCTGAGTCCACCAATCTTGGTGGATGCATCCATGTAGATTAACTGATTTTGGGGGGGTCTTTGGGAATTTTTGGTGCCTTTTTTGTGTGTTTTTTGACACAGTTCTGTCCCCTGGCTATGGGCATCGGGCCCATGTTTGTTGGTGTGGTAGTCAGCTGTGTCAGGTTGATTTGATTCCATGGTGGTGTCGGCAGTGCTATGACCAGGAGGTGAATAACGCTCATGGTTGCAAGTTTAACAACGGCTCGGCCCTGTTTTGTCTGTACACGTGCCTGGTGCATCCCGAATTGTTTGTCGAGACTGTCCCTCGACTTGGGGACGTGGGGTGCATTGGCACAGCTCATTCAGCTTGGTGTGCTTAAAGGGATGCTGAACCAAAATCTGAATTCCACAAAACACTGCAGCAAAAGCGTGCAACGGGATGCTACAAACACCAAAACATCACTCATACAGCAATATCACGAACGGATGACCATATTTAAAAAAAAGGAGGCGTATTTGACAGATATGTTTACATCTTGTTTCTCCAAAAAGCAGAGGAAACTGCCTCGTGTTTTCTCCGCCTCGCCGCCTTGAGGGGGCAAAACAAAGAGAGGACGAAACGAGATATCTTGACGTTCAATCTCGCCCCTTTTTTTTTTCCAAAAATACGGCCGTTCATTTGAGATACCGCCTTACGAGTAGTGTTGTAGGAATTGTAGCGTCCCGCCTACAGCTCCTGCATTGTTTTCTGAAATTCAAATTTTTGTTCACCATCCCTTTAAGCAGACCTGTGATTGCTCTCCTGGCATCGTTGAGTAGCGGGTCGGGTTTCTTTCAATGTTTCTTGATTAGGCGGTAGGATCAGAGTTTGAATTCTGCCTGTTTTCACACCCTGCAGGACTGTGTGCAATGTGGCAGCCCCACTGGAGCCTTCCACCCCGGAATCTCTTTTAATGGGCATGGTGGACTCGCTGGACAGGGAGGAGCCCGCTGAGATGACCCAACAGGCAAACACCGACTTCCTTCCCGCAGAGTCTCCTGGATCATCCTCAAGTACCCCCTCGGAGAGGGGCCACAGCCGGGTTCCTGAGCCCAGGATTGCTAAACGCAAAAGAGACCAGGACACAGTCGATCAGGAGCTGCTGAGACACCTCAACACCAAAATGACGGGATCAGAGGCCCTGGGGTACTCAATTGGAGCTGCCATACAGCACTGGGACACCGAAACGTATGCCCTCTTTAGTTCTGATGTCCACAGGCTTATTGCAGAATATGAAGTGCGTTTTCAGAGTAAGCAATAAACAGCAGCCATTTCTTTTTCTGCAGACAGCAGGCTTCCTCTGTACACTTGGTTATTGTTGGGATAAGGGAACACTACCAGATGGGCAAACAAAACTCTAAATGTCAAAAAGGGAAATGTTTCGGGGAGACCTTTTATCAAGCAGTCGCCGGCCGCCAGCACGTTCGGTTCACTGGTGCTATACTGGGTTCTTATTGGTATCAGCGAACATAGCTTTGAGTAGAAGAGTTTTAGAGGAGAAAAACATAAAAAAGGTATGCCTAATTTGAAAAAAAAAAGAAATTAAACTGAAAATGCAGAACCCTAGTTACATTACATAAACCAGTGGTGGAACTGCGGCGTCATTTGCTCCAAACTGTGCCGGAACGAACAACCTGCTACATGCTGCTCCCATACAGCCTATATTTATAGACTGGCCTCGGAGAGTCCAATAGCTACATTGGGATGGCGAGTAACCGAAGTATTACATCAAATTAAATCTATAAAGAAGCCCCACCATACGGCGGACGGTGCACATGAATAGGAGATGCAACTAGAAATGGGCCCCATTTGTTTTTTTTTATTAAAAATTCTCAATATTTGACCGTAACTTTTGATTTTAATAATGCTTCATTCTGAAACTTTCGCATCTGGTTCCAACTGCTAGGGCTACATTCTAGTGGAGTTTGAGCTCGCCGCTATGTCCACTTCATTTTTGCAGTGCAAAAGACAGGTAGTACACTTAAAAGAAGTGGGACACAAAGGGAAACACCCTAAAAGAAATGGGACGCAAAGAGAAACACCCAGTAGACTTAAAAGAAATGGGACAGAAAGAGAGCTAAACATCAAAGTTACTGAACATAGCAATCTTGAAAAAAAAAGAAGGTTTATACAACGAAGAAGATAACATATCACAAAACATAACATGTCAGGTTGGGGTCTCGGAGAACCCGTCACACGTAAACTCATCACAGCCAACTCATCATAGGAGAACTCGTGAAATATTGTAGGCCAGCTCGTACAGGGAAAAGTTGCAACAAAGCGCAACTGGCATTTGTCCACTTCGTCACAATTTACATTTTAAACGATTATGCATTTGCAACTAGACTTAGCTGATTATGGAAAATTTACGGCATTTTTCTTTTTTAAATATGACGTGGTCTTATTGTTGGCGAAAAGTAAAGGATGTGGTAGAAGCTCTGCTTCTATTAAGGGCTTGTTACCTCCCACCATGCTTTGGTTGTGCGTGCGCACTTATGCTGTCAATGGTAGAAAAATTGCGATGGGGGGGTTTCAGCGTTACGCTTTTACAATGCATGCAGCAGTGATGTCCAAGAATGAAACGACCAGAAATAATCATTTGACTGAAATTAAAGGAACGTTTAAATCTGTGTTTATTTGCACGATAAGGTAAATATGGAAGTTGACAATTGATGCAAAGCGCAAGTTAAAGCGAAACATTTCGTGTGATGCTTTCGGCCCCTCCAGTCCCCTCAAGACATGCTGATTGACAGCCTGGTACTTGTTTTGCCAGTAAGTTCCGACCCAGAAAAACTTCCAAAAAGGGTCTAATAACAAAGTAGTGCTTTAAACACTGACGAGAGGGAAGAACAAGGCAACAAAATGTGCGTTGTGTTTCTCGGCATTAATAACAAAGGGAAGTTGAAACTAAAGGTAAGATCAAAAAGCCGACCACAAACGTTGCCTGCAAACAATTAAAAAGAGAGGTTAATTTTCAAATGACAAGGTCGATGCAACCACTTCTTAGGTCAAAGCCAGTCCCCCAGCCAAAACTGAAAGGTATGTGATCAACTTTTAAAGAACGAGACGGTCAGTGCGACAACTTTCCCTACTACGGGTTCACCTAGAACGAGATTCCGCCTTAGACCAGTGACCAGTTTTTGTATGACAAGTTGGCTGTGGCGAGCCGGCCTGTTCTCTTAAGACCTGTCCACAACTGTGTCCTGCCAAGAAATGGATCCTCTTGGCGAGACAAAGTAGTCTGCCAGTAGGTCCCTTATGCCAAGTGCAGTTGGACTGCTGGAGTTGGGCCCCAGGACCCTGTTGGCACCAACAGCTGTGATGTCTGCTCGCCAAGCGCCATCCACTCTCTGGCCTTTCCTTTCTCTGTCCATGTAGCCAGGCGGGCAGTACGCCTCATCTTCCATTAAAAAGTTATGGAGGCAGACTGCTGCCTTAATCATACCCTCACAGCGTTCCATGCTGCCATGCATCGGGCCCAGGAACGTGCGCCACCGGGAGACTAAGATACCGAAGGCATTCTCCACGGTACGCCTTCCGCGAGAGAGTCGGTAGTTGAAAACTTTCCGTCGCCTGTCCAGTCCTGTTCCCGGAAAAGGACGCATTAGGTAGTGTTTCAATGGAAATGCCTCGTCCCCGAGGATGCACAGAGGTGGTGCTGGGCGTGCGACACTGGGGACTTGAAGGGAATTCGCAGCTAACGCCTTCCCAATGTTTGAATTTTTAAAAACTCCGCCGTCCGACTGATGCCCAGTGGCACCAATGTCCACCAAAGTGAACCGGCAGCGAGCATCAACAACGGCTAGAAGTTGCATCGAGTAAAACTTCTTGTAATTAAAACATGTTGTCCCCGAGTTGGAGGGACATCTCATTGCAAAATGTTTCCCGTCAATAGCTCCAATGGCGTTCGGGAAATTCCATTTAACTTCAAACTCTCTGCGGATCTCTTCCCACTTGGCAGCTGTTGGCGGCTTCAAAAACAAGGGTGCCAGCGTCTCCCAGATTGCAGGCAACGTCTCCCGGAGGATGGAAGACAATGTTGCCTTGTGCATCCTGTAGCTGACACCAATGTGTCCCAAGGATCCAGGCGATGCGAGGAACCTGGAAATATTGCATGGATTGTCTGCGTTAGAGAAGTGACTAATCAAAAGGTCTTATGATTGGCTACAACTTGGCCCCAATATAATCCCTACTGCAACTACATCCTGCTAAGGTATGTTATTACAAAGACCAATCTGAGTGATGCTAATACACAAGTGAGATTTTGTGAAAAAGTTTAAATATGGTTATCAAACATAGATTATCTCAAACCTGCGTTTGCGAGTATTTTGTGAACCCTTGCAGTAATACTGTACTCCATACAACCTTCAGCTCACAGGGCAGCAAAGGCTACAGGCATGAGCTGGCCCACGCTATTTGCTTTGAGAGTCTTTCTTTAGACCTTTCCCATAAAGACTTCCTGCCGGAGCCACTTCCAGAGTCCGTGCGTATGGGCCGTGACTCGGTATTTTCTCAAGTGATGAACATTCACATGCTAGTCTGTGGAGGTCGCAAGCTGGGCTGCAGATATGTAAACATTGGAAACGCGTATACATGGCTTGCATGATGTCATTCTACAGTGTTTGTGCTAGTAATGTTGGCTGGTGCTGTTCCCATGACCGTCTGTACTTCTGACCTGCCAACAGAAGGGTTCTGTATGGAACCCTTCCAACAGTGCCATGTCATGGCTGGCGGTGGCTACAATTATGGGATGTTTGATAGAGAGACTCAGTATAATTACCTGAGTGTAATCGCAAGCCGCTCAGCGGGAGAGATCGGCGAACGATGCGTGGGCGCATGGACGAGACGATCGTAGACGAGAGCGAGCAGCCTGTCGAAGGAGGACTTTGTCATCCTCCAAAAGAAAGACAAAGATTTGAATTCTAGTTCTGTCGCTGATTCTGCAAAACGAATCTGACTTGATCTTTCCGGCCTTACCTGAAGTACATGAAATGGTACTCGGGGTCGCTCTCTCGCAGTTCCTGGACCAGGTGATAGAACTCGCCGAAAACTTTCCGCTTATCAAAAATGTCTCTTACGTACATCGTACGTATTCTCTTTCGTTGTATACGACGCCACAGAATCACTGCAGCTATCTTTCGTTTCGTTTGCACGTCCGCGTTCATGTTGATTCTGCAAAGCATACGACTGGACACGACCGCCAACCCCGACCTCCCGGTGGAGATGAATGGATGAATGAATCCGGCTGAGCCCTTTGGATCGGGCGGTAGCTTACGCCACCTACAGAAGTTGGAACAGAACGCCGAAGCGGAAGTGCGCCACCGGAAAAGCCCAGCGCGCATGCGCAAAATAGGGAAGCGCGTTTGCCAACGTTGGAGTATAGACACCGCCAAGCGAGCGGGTCCTTATCGCAGTCCGGCGCAACGTCATGGTCGGCGGACGTCGCGTTGCGCCGGCGAACGTTCGTCGCGCCGACGTTGGAGTATAAACAGCCCTTTATACTGAGTTCTATTAACGTTGGCTGTACTGCTGTTCCGCTGTAAGGTGCCCGCAATAGTTACCAAAAGGCTGCCCGACTGTTTCCTAATGTTGCGAGACAAGTGAGGAACACCCGCAAAACTGCCACGCAGCTGTGGCATGACAGACTCTAGCAACAAAAGCAAGACATTGTTGCCCCGATAATGGGGAAGCACTGTCGCGAGGAGCGCTGCCTGGTCATGCAGTGCAAATGTTGAGAAGATGCATGGCGGCAACAGTTGGCAAAAAATGATGTTCAGCTACAGTCCAGTTGTGGCACGCAACGTCTGCCGAATAGGTTTGAGCAACAGGCAACCAACAATGGTGTCCAGTGTTTTCGCAACAATTCCTCGACAATCTATTCCAACCTAGCGCGAAACTGTTGTGTCGTACGGTTGGAACACTTTTGGAAAGCAATGTTTGGCGACTGCATTCTGGCAGTGTAAACGCAAACTGTTTTTGAACCCGCCACGGGAACAGTTTAGCAACATCAGGACAGCACACATTTTGCTGGGGAAAAGCAATGCTTCGGTTACTGTTGCGGGCATGAAACAATCAACGGTTCACCGACACAGTTGCCGCAGTGCTTTAGCAGCGGACACTTCTGCAGTGTTATGACTGTTGCGACAACATTGTTGCGCGATTGCAGTAAAACTGTTTTTTGTTGCGAAACTTTGTTGCGCCGACTGTCTCCACAACATAAATTGTTACCTGGATCCTGCATTCTCACAGTCGCAACGCAGTGAAACGCTCTCAAACGCAACTGTGCGTAGGGATCTTTGGTCGTCTTAAACGGCCTGCTCCTGCTCGTGCTTGTGGTACCGGTGTAACTCCCAATTACGGGTGCATGCCCAGTACGCGCTCTTGTCAAGTGTTGCGTACGTGCTCGCGTACCATACTTTGTTTCGCACACATGGCTTGCAACGCTGTCGCGGCTGCGGACCCGAGCATGTGGATGTATCTATACTTCGTCTCAATATAAGTGCGAACGCAACCAGTGCGACAAGCGCGAGTATATGTTTTCTCTGATGACGCTCTTACTGGACGAGCGTGTGTGCTTAGCCCGCTCAAAGTGCGTTCGCTCTCGTAGTGTCAATAGGGTCTCCTTCGCTAGCAGTCTTATTGAAACAAAAACACAAGCAAATAAAACATCTGAGATCAACCCCACACTCGCGCGAGCAGCTTTGACAGCGCAAACCTTACGTGCAGGTCTTTTTTGGAAGGTTAACCTAGGGTCTGCAGAAACGGGCGTTTGAGGTGGGCGTTACATGATGTGTTCTCGACTAAAATCCGATCTCTTCATTCTATTACAGGACTTTTTCAGTATACACCAATTCAAAACACTAATTATGCAAAAGAAAGGGTAGCAAAAAATTGAGAAAAAATGCTCTCCCAAATATTTCTGTTTTCGTTACCTTCAACCTAGAGAGTAAACCACCACTGCAAGGGAAGTGGAAATGTAGGTGGTATGTACAACATCTCACAAACCTTTTTTTTTCAGTAGGACAGATTCCCTACTGAAAAAAACCATTTGAAATTCAAACGGGTGGCAAACTGGTCGCCCGTTTGATTCAAACCTGTCGATCCGTTTGGATCAAACGTGATTATGGGATACGGGTACCCGTTTGGAAACGGTACCCGTTCGAAACGGTACCCGTTTGATACAGGTGCCCGTTTGATACGGGTGCCGTATGGTACGAGCACCCGTTCGACATGGCACGTGACCACACGTTTGAACGTGCCCTTCGAAATGGCAAATTATGCGCTAGCCCTAAATGGGTATCGTCTGGGAGGTTGGTTATCTTAAACATATTTAAGACGTCCCGAAACTCAAACGTATTTATAACATGGAGAAAACACGTAGAACAAATGCACTCGCGTAGGTGCTTGTAAGTGGACAGGAAAACCGACACAAAAGATTGTTTTCAATTCTCCTCGAAGTTTATTACCTCTTCTGTAGACAAGTACAAACGTGCAAGCGATCTGTGAACACTATACAGGTAGACTTTCGGGGAAATTATTCTCCTGGCTGCCGCGCGAATAGGCGCTGCATAATTCTTTAGATAATTTAGAAGAGTACGCGTAGAAGAACGGTCAATCGTTGCCAACACGTAGGTTGCAGTGCACTTACCATAACAATAGCGGACTTGAAAGAGGTAATCCGTGATATTTGTCGACACAGTCAAAGCAGGACAACCACACAAACACAAACGAGAGGGAACGGCTCCTTGGAAGTTTCAACACGATGCGGCGCACAAGCTGTCATTTGCCGAACCCAACCAAACCGCGAGAATTCGCGACTTCTTTGAAGAATCGCTCGTTGCCGACATACACGTGGGTCTTTTCGAACACTGATAGCTTTGGTGCACATCCAATGCGTTGTCGAGAGACATCCCAATAAGACCGCAGGGTTAGGCGACAGATTGAAGCAGGTAGGACGAGCGAACTTCGAGCAGCAACTGACAACAAGCAGACAAAGAAAAAAGCGGCTGCAAGGCGCGCCCTTCCGGATCTCGATGCTTATCAGCGTGTAGCTCGCGCGCTGCTGTGGGTCACGTGACAGGGGTGACAAGAGAGGAGGGAGGGGGCGAGGTCAAGGCGCTGGGACCACCGGGACAGCCCCTCTCCCTCTCCCCAGGCATTCCAGGGAGATGCGTTTTTGTAGTCCCGAAGAACAGACGCGCGCGCGCGCGCGCGCGCTCGAATTTTGGAAATGGCGGCGGGGCTGCCAGAAGCTCGGCTTGCGCCCGAGCGAAGAAAGAACTCAGCGCAAGCTCGTAGTTTGAGTGCTGCAACGGCGGGCGTGCTCTCGCAATGCTCGATGTTCTTGCAGCCGCGTGTACGCGTGCTACCTTCGCTGCGTCTTGAATTAAAGTGAAACGGAGTCTAGACGTACATTCTTTCACGCGGTCGCGTCTTCTGCGAGAGAGATTCGAGCTGAATAAGTAAATTGAGGCAACAAAGATGGACAAAGTATTAAAGGTCTGTCAAAAATATCGGCTCACCAACGTCGCGCGTTTACATAAAACAAAAAAAAAGGTGTTAGTTTTAGTTGCAGTATAATCGAAAATCAGCGCAATTGAAATATAAATATAATTACTTGCATTACGCGGACGATCTGAAATCGATGAACCGGCGCTCCCAGCCTTCCGGAAAACATTGGCTGCCACGGCTGAAACGCTAGGCGTGCCCACGCCGCCGATCTGTACGTTCAATATCAAACGGGCTCCGGAGAGCCGTTTGATTAAACCGGTGCAGTTTGCAACATGGTCGCCGGTTTGAGCAAACGTGCGACAACTTTGCCCAAACGAGTCGCCCATTTGCCCAGACGAGCGACCCGTTTGCCAAATAGGTGACCGTTATGGCTCATACGGGGGACCCCTTTGAGCCATACGGGCGACCCCTTTGACAAACTGGTGACCAGTATGGTTAAACGGTTACCGGTATGGACCCGTTTATTTTCATATGGGCGCCAAATGGTTTTTTTCAGTAGGGTTATCTGTTTTACAATACAAATTCGATGCACAGACTGATAATTTTGGATGCCTCCTTTACAAAATGCAGTTCCATTTATTTGTTTTGTTTGGCTCCCTAAAGTCCCCGAGGTACCCCACCACAAGGAAATACCCACAGTACTGAAACATCCCCAGAACAGACTGCGGCAGCAACCGCAGCTGCTCTTTAGTTTGGCTGTCCGATACTGTTTCTTGGTCGACCGAGGCACACTTACCACTAGTGCCATCTCTGTCCATTCTAGGACTGTGTGTCCGCCGGAGGGCCCTTAGCAAGGTTCAAGCGGAGCTTTTCCCTCGGAGCAATTTGCCGCAGTGACCGCAGCTGTTGGTGAGTTTGGCAGTCCGATACTCTTTCCAGGTCAACTGAGGCTCACCTATCACTAGTGCCGTATTTGTCGATTCTATAGGCGAGTGTATCCTCCTGAGGCCCCCCAGGATGTTCCAAGTGGTGCTGTACAGAACCTGACTTTCCCAGCTTCCCTAGAGCAGCCTGGTTCGGCAGTCCCCTTCAGCTGCTGGTGAGTTTAGCACAATGATAGTGTTTTCAAGTCGACCGAGGCACACCTACGACTGTCGTCTCTGTTCATTTATTCATTCTAGAAGTGCGTACCATCCCATGGCTGCCTGAACAAGGTCTTAGCAGCGCCCTACGGGCCCTTGCTTCTCCAGCTTGTCCTGGACAGATTGCTGCAGCAACAGCTGATGAGTTTTCATTTTCGACTGTTGTTTATTTCCTGCCAGAGTGCAGACAGTTACACACTGTTACTTACATTTGATCTTATTGTCACACTGCTAGCCACTTGACAAGACTAAATAATAATCTTTTTTTCTTTTTCAGGCACACTTTTTACACTTCGCATCAGGCCGTATCATCAGACTGACAGTTTTTCTGATGTACTGATGAATAACAAAGAGCTACAGAGCAATTGAATGCAGATAAAACTGATATTGGCGCAATGACAGGAGTACCAGTTGCAACGTGAAGAAAACAATTTACAATTTGGACTTAAGTGCTTTCTCTTTCCATATCGAAAAGTCCACTATGAAGGGGACTGCATGGAGTAAAGGGGTCCTCTAGAAAGTTTTTAATATTCATCTTTCTTGTGTTTCCCATGGTTTCAATAAGATACTGGG